GGCAAAAGAGACAAGCAGCAGCTTCAATAAGAGATGTTCCCTGACAGCTCCCAAAGGCTGCTGGAGTGCCTGCAAAGAGCTGCTGACCACCAAAGGGCCTCTGACTGCTCTCACTGCACTTGGCTTTTAGCTCTCTGGAACTCTCCTGAGTACAGTACAGCCCAAAATGTAGGGGAACCGTTGGAAAGCTGATATACGATGTAATGGCATTGAAATGATTTCATTTATACAATTAAAATGTGCCCCTGTAAAGCTTCTGAGACTCCTGGAGATCTGACTTCAGGATACAGTTTTCAGGAAAAACATCACTTTTCATTGCGTGGTTGGTAGCATCACGAATGCAGTGGTGGTATTGATGAGAAAACAAGCAGAGCTTTAGGATCTGCTTCAAAGGGGTTCAAGGTAAGTCTCTAATTGTACAGAGTTTAACCATGCTCTCAAGAATTTTAAAGACATACAGCTCCCTCTAACAGGCATTCTGAACCACATGGCCAAGTCAAGCAACAACTTTTCTGGTGGCCAGCTCCCCAGACAGCTGCTCCAGGGTCTCCCCTTAAGGAACCTTCTCTCCTCCAGGCTGAACCAGCCCAGCTCTCTCAGCCTGGCTCCAGAGCAGAGCTGCTCCAGCCCTCAGAACATCTCCATGACCTCCACTTGTGCTGAGGGACCCAGAGCTGAACACAGTACTGCAGGTGGGGTCTCACGAGAGCAGAGTAGAGGAGCAGCATCCCCTCTTTGACCTGCTGGTCACACTTCATCTGATGCAGCCCAGCATACAATTGGCATGGCTGTAGCATCCCAAGGGTTAATGCCATTTAGGAAGGGATGCAGTGGAAACCCTTGGAGGACTTAGCTTAATAATTATAGTGTAAAACCCAAGCTGGGCGACAGCCAGCAGTGCAGCTAGTGGACATGTCACTGCTGCCCCATGGGTCACCTACAGGCAAAATGTCTTTCTGCTTATGAATATGGTAAGATAAAACCCAGGGCAGGCCTGAGGTCCTGACTGTTCCCTGACATTATAGCAGTGGGAAATAAAAAATAATAATAAACCACTACTTCTGAAGTGCTTTCTTGACCCACACTAGAGCCTCTGCTTTTAATGTTTATTCATTGACTGAGAAGAAGCACTGAACAGAGAAATCCTGCCTTCAAGAAAAGAGGTTTTTGCAGTGGTTCTGGGTAGCTGGTGGTTTGCCTCTTTCAAACTTCACTTCTGGGGAGGATAGGGTGGGCTAACCTAGAAGAAGGACAGAAATACTGTGACCCCCATCTCAAGAGCTGCTGGTGCTGATCTGGAGGTGGGAGCAGCCTTTGAGCTGCCTCTGTCCATCACTGGGTCCAGTGGGACTCCCAGGTCTGTGGGTACCCCGAAACCAGAGCTGGGGGCACTGCCAAGAGAGTCATAGAATCATAGCATCAACTTGGTTGGAAAAGACCTTCAAGATCATCAAGTCCAACCTTTGCCCCAGCACTGCCACGGCCACCACTAACCCAGGTCACTGAGGGTCTTGTCTACACGGTGTGTGAACAATTCCAGGGACGGTGACTCCAGCACTGCCCTGGGCAGCCTGTTCCAAAGCCTGAGCACCCTCTGGGGAAGAAATGGTTTCTAATCTCCAGTCTTAACCTCCCCTGAAGCAGCTTGAGGCCGTTGCCTCTTGTCCCATCACTTGTTACTTGGTGGAAGGGACCAGCCCGCTCCTGGCTCCATCCTTCTGTCAGGCAGCTGCAGAGAGTGATAAGGTCCCCCCTGAGCCTTCCCTTCTCCAGTCTGAAACCCCCACGTCCCTCAGCTATTCCCCATCACACTTGGGCTCCAGGTTCTTTACCAGCTGTGTTGCCCTTCTCTGGCCCCACTCCAGCACCTCAATGTCTTTCTTGTAATGAGGGGCCCAGAACTGAGCACAGGATTCGAGGTGCAGCCTCACCAGTGCCCAGTGCAGGGGCACAATCACTGCCCTGGCCTTGCTGCCAGACTGGTGCCGATACAGGCCAGGATGCTGTTGGCTTCTTGGCTGCCTGGGCCCACGCTGCTCGTGTTCAGCTGCCAACCAGCACTCCCAGGTCCTTTTCCAACGACCATCTTTCCAGCCACAATCCCCAGCCCTGGAGAGCGGCGCCTGCGGGTGCTCGAGATGCCGGGCGGCGCCGTGCGCGGCCGACAGGTGGCGCCATTGCGCCGCGGGCGGTGCTGCGCGGGGCGGGACCGAGGCACCCCGCTCCCAACCCCGCTACAGGGAGCGGGCAGGGCCGGCACCGGACCCGCATCCCGCAGGATGCTGTGAGGCTTTCCCCTTCCCTCCTCCGAGAAGCACTCGGAATCAAGATCCGGTGAGGCACAGCACGGTTTGCCCAGCTCTAAAGCTGATCCTCGCTGCCTGTGACAGCTCTGCTTTGAGAGCATCAACCCAGACCTGCACTTCCCCAAGTCCATCACTCTTGAGGCACAGTGAGGAACCCCCAAACGGGCATCACCGACCGAACCTTAGAATACCCAAGAGCCACCAAAGAACGATTAAAGCCCGGCTCCCAGCAGCGCAGAGCTCCCCATCCTGCCTTTCAGGCTGACCTTAAGGCTCCAATACTGAGAGGAGCGTGCAAGCTGCTCCCCTCAGTCAGTACACCCAGCACAAAGGGGCTTTAAGCACATTTTTTGCAGGAGCAACATTTGGGGTTCTTCTCTTTACTGCAGCACAAACGACCATAAACCTTTTCTGGCCAGGACCATGTGGATACAGGAGGCACAGGTGCCAGCTCAAGGCAGAGGTGGGGGGGACTGCCCCACCACGCTGCAGACAGGAGCATGCCATGCTCATCCCTCAAACTGGCGAGGTGCACACCAGCTTGGCCAGGGCCACCCGTGCCTGCTGACCCACTGGTGGCAAGTCCAGCTGTTCCCCAGCACTGCCAACCACTAACCCATGTCACTGAGGGCCTCATCTACACAGTGTTTGAACACTTGCAGGGACGGTGACTCCAGCCCTGGCCTGGGCAGTTCCAATGCCTGAGCACCCTTTGGGGAAGGAATTGCTCCTTATCTCCAGTCTAAACCTCCCCTGGTGCATCTTAAGGCTGTTTCCACTTGTCCTACAGCTTGTTACTTGGGAGAAGAGACCGGCCACCTTGTCTCTCCATCCTCCTTTCAGGTAGCTGTAGAGAGGCATACTGGATGCTTGCATCCCTTCATCCACTTCAAATAAAGCTCTGTGTGTTTGCACACATGCTGGGTGTGGTGCTCAGGGTGGTTTTGGGGTGCAGCTATCAGCAACTCCATCCCAGAAGTGCCTGGAGCTGGATTGCTGTGATAGCACACTCCTACTGATCTGTGAGCTGGGACCTGCGTGTTCGCACGGAGGACGAACAAGACAGACCAGTAAATCATGTGTGGGTCATGCTGACAGCCTGTCCCACGCTCCCAGTATGTTCCCAGTTAGAGTGGGGAATAAACACGACACCCACCTGCAACACAAGACACCCACAGCACACATCTGGGGGGGGGGGGGGGGGGCTTTATATGGATCCACATTTAAAATAGAAACTAAAAAAAAAAGGAAGATACTATTTCAAGAGGAGTTTCTGACATTGAGGTTTTAGTGGTGATCAGCAGCACCTCTACTCTGACATGAAGGGAAAGGTCTTGCCACCAACCTCAGTGTATGCTTCACAGAATCACAGAAACCTGGAATGGTTTGGGTTCAAAGGGACCTTAAAGCTCATCCAGTTCCAACCCCCTGCCATGGGCAGGGACACCTTCCACTGGAGCAGGTTGCTCCAAGCCCCGTCCAACCTGGCCTTGAACACTTCCAGGGATGGGGCAGCCACAGCTTCTCTGGGCACCCTGTGCCAGCACCTCAGCACCCTCACAGGGGAGAGCTTATTCCTAATGTCCCATCTCAGTCTCCCTTCTGTCAGGTTAAAGCCATTCCCCCTTGTTCTGTCCCTACAGGCCCTTGTCCAAAGTCCCTCTCCAGGTTTCTTGTAGCCCCTTTAGGCACTGGAAGCTGCTCTAGGGTCTCCCTGGCACCTTCTCTTCTCCAGACTGAACAAGCCCAACTCTCCCAGCCTGTCTTCATAAGAGACATGCTCCTATGAAAGAGAAAGCAGCAAAAGAGCTGTCAGTGAGGAAGTTGCAGGCTGATGTGAGAGCTTCCTCCTGACCCACCACCACTGGAGGTGACCTGAGTAAATGCTCCAACATTTACCTTTGCCAGTGTTGGTCCTACATATACCAGGCTCTTCCCAGCTCTGCAAAGGCTGCAGCTGTAGCACAGAGCGCTGCTGTGCTCCATGTGCAGAGGGCATTGCTGCAGTCAGGGATGGATGCACTGCTCTGCCTGCCACCCTGAGAAATAGCAAGACCTTCCCTGCAATCCCTGTCTTCAATCAGAAACCCTCTCTCCAGATCATTTCTCCCACCTCTGACGTGACTGAACTCCTGGAGTGATGCAGTCCAACCAGCACACTGCCCCTGGCATGGCATGTTTTACACCAGAACAAGAGCTGGCTGCATGGGGCAGCATTTCCAGTTCTGTGCCTGCTTGGGACCTTTCCCAGCCTTACTCAATCTGCCTGCTTTGTGGCAGTACTGAGAGTGCTAAACTTAAGAGCTGCAGCATGCCAAGCAGATACAGGGTTATTTCTGCTCCATGGCTTCCCAATGCCATGCACAGACCGCTTTAAGAAACTCGAGAAAAAATGGCTGCTTCAAAATAAACTCTATCCATCACTGGCCCTAAAGATGACACATGATGAAATGCCCTTACCAAACAGATCCTCACATTTCAGCCCAGGAAAGCATCCAAGTGCACAGCCAAGCCAAGACAAACACAGCACTGCTCTCTCCTGGAAAGGAACATGGTATGAAAATCCCCGTTGTTGGCCTATCCCAGAAAGTGATTCACCCTCCCCACGGGATCTGGACTTGCCTACGCATGTTTCGCAACGCTGCCTGGCTTTATAACAGCCTGGTTGCATGTGGTGGCTCCTCACTGGTTACTCTGCTTGCCTTTGAGTGAGGAGGCAGCAGCTCATTTTCCTCACCATGATTATCCTCCTGCAGCATCTCTTCTTGCGGGCCACAGACTTACTGCTCGCGACGACCCTTTCCTGCCTCTTCTATGGCTTCGTATGCATTTCTATTGCATCTTTGGCCTGCTTCATTATCCTCTTCTCCTTTGGCATTGTGGAGAGGAATACTGATGTGAAAGGGAGAGCAATTGTCATTCTCGTGTCCAACAGCTCCATTGGGAGGATGTTTGCAAGGAACCTGAATAAAGCAGGTTTCAGGGTGTCTGCTGCACACTGGCCTCCTCGAGAGAAGGGTACAGCTACAGAAGAAGAATGCTCCTCAAGCACTGAGGTAGCCCAGCTCCACATGACTGAAGATGAGTATCAGAAGACAATGAAAACCTTCATAGAAAGCCACTTATCCCTGAAAGGTAATTTTTAGGGCAAACTTATGGATTTTGCCTATGGTAGATATCAAAATGCACAAGACTGTGATGTGGTTGTAGTTCATCAGCAAATGCTTTAGAAAATGGGTTATAACACTCTAACTGCATTGCTATTCTTAGTGTCAAACAAAAAAATGTTGCTTTTTCCAGGGGAAAGAGCTTGCTCTGGTGGCTGTGCAAGGCCCAAGTAGACCCCAGTCTCTGGAGCAAGGCAAGACAGGTCAAGGAATTAGGGGGAGAAGGTCCCACCAAGGCACCTGGGGATAAAACAGAGATGAACAAGGGGGAGTGGACACTTGGACAGTGACCTGAGAGGAAAGAATGTGTCTGATTTTAACTTCTTCTGGATTAAAATACCTGAGCTCCCTCTTGTCTTCTTGCCTGCTGTGGGATTCCTAAGAGCAGTCAGGTTGGAGCTTTGGCTGGCAGGTTGGGACAGGGTCCCTGGACCACACTGTGGGGACATGGGACTGAACACAACCTGCAGCTCACCAGGGACAGCACAAGGCAAGTGATGTCTTAAAGGGGATGACTGCAAGCACTGCTGCTGGGGAGTCTCTCCAGTGTTGTGAGACGAGGGGTGCCAATGGGCAGGCTGGTTTACACCCCAGCTGAATTAGCTCTGCTATCCAGGAGTCTTTATCCTCACAGCCATAACTTTACACCTATTTGGAGTGACAGAAGAGTCAGCCTCAGCCATCTGGGCTGTAAGTTCACTGCCTGCAGGGCTGCAAGAACCCTCTCCTCCACTGTGAACCTACCTAAGGCATGTCTGAGCAGCAAAGCTCTCTCACTGCTTCACCATGCTGCCACCTTCCTTCTCCAGCTTCTCCATCCCTCTCCTCCTTGTTCTTCTCTCTGTGGTTTCACTGAGGCTCCCTTTGAGGTCTCCCCAGAGAAGCTTCTGATTGCTCCCACTGAGCTGAGATCTCTGAGAGCATCCACACCTCACCACGACAGATAAGCCCCTTGGCATTGCTGCCCAGCACTGAAGGCTTTTCTTTGTGCTGCCAGGATCTGCAGAGGAAGGACATTTTGGAAGTCAGATCATGCACCACGAAGCCTCCACTACTGCGGATAGCCTTCAGAGGGGTGGTAGGGAACCCCAGCCAATACCTGCTGCTAGCTGCAGCTATTCAGGACCCCATGGCACAGGTTATCTCACATTGCTTTTCCCCTCAGAAGCATCCAAAAGACAAGAAGTACCTGTGGTCAGCTCCTGCGGGACTCTGCATGGCCCAGGATACAGCACTTCTATTCACTAGCAGCCCAGAGGCTCCAGGAACAGGTGCCCTGCACACTGACAGAGGGGTACAGATCAAACGCTCCATTGCCTCCATCAGCATTTAGGCTGATTTGCACTAGTACAATTACTCTGGTAAAGACAAGACCTAAAAGCTCACAAAGCTGTGAGCCAGCATATTCCTGCTCCAGAAATGAACAACGCAGACTTTCTTAACCAACAGTGCTCTGTGGGAGCTGCTGATTTCCACAGGCCTTTGCTGTTGTAATTAAATGAGGATCTATCCCAGTGATATCTGCCTTTTTTTTTCCTTTTGAATACCTGTGCTAGTTAAGGGTTTTTAACAGAATCATACAATGGTTTGGGTTGGAAGGGAGTTTAAAGCTCATCCAGTTCCAACACCCTGCCACAGGCAGGGACACCTTCCACCAGATCAGGTTGCTCCAAGCCCTGTCCAGCCTGGCCTGACAGGGTACTCTACTGTAGGATCTGTGAGGTTTTACATTTAGGGTCTCCTGCATAGTATTCAAATCACAGATGGGGATACTGAAATGCATTTCCCAAGTGCTGACCCAATTGCATGGCAGATCAAAGCACTGTGTATGGGTAGGGAGGAGAAAAGAAACCTCAGAGTTTTCTTGCATTGCTCTGTTAACAGTTTCATGTGAGTGCTGGCATTTATTCTGCAGGATTTGCTGTAATACTTTTGGCAAGGGTGAGCACGATCACCTGCCACCAGCTGATTGATAACAGAATGATTTAAAGCAAATCAATAGACCACACTGGTAGGTTCCCCACTTGCAACGTGCAGTTTGGTAAGCAGGTTCTGGACAAGGAGAGAAGAGAGTTGGTGCTGTAGGAGCCGACACGGCACAGCATATAGGAACCAGACATTATACAGCTTTCTCCATTTAGAATCTCTCTTACGCACTTTATGCATATACAATTTTTTGTTTCCAAAGAAAGCAATTTTTGTGCTGTTTTTTTATGAAGATTTTTAATAACTTGCCCCCATAGCAAATTTTTACCATTATATCTTTGTTACTATAAGAAAAAAGACTTGTTTGATATAAACACAGCTTTTGAAATGCATCCTAAATTCCTTTCAAAGTAACAGAGAGGAGTCAGAACTCCCTAGTCATGGTTCCTTCTAGAATTAAAAAACTGATGACAGCTAAAATCATTAAATTTTTATTCTAGTAGAGGCCCGGAGGCCCAAATTTTCAGGTAGGCCAATGCCTTTGTTTTGTGCTGGCAGCACAAATTAATAAGGTGCTATTATGTTTAAAGAGATTGTAATGCAAAGATACAGAGAAATGCAAGTCAGCCACCTTCCAAAGCCACAATATGCTTAACTTAGTTCATAAAAGTCTTGTGTTCTTCCAGCTTTTAACTTGTGGTGTGTTCAGATCAGATGTTTAAATGTTCTCTGTGACCAGGAGGTCAAAGAGACAGGAGGAAAAAGAGGAGAGAAGGACTCTTAATTGCTCACCTTGAGCTTGTATTCTCAAACCCTGCAAGAGCTCTTGGCTCCGTGTCCAAGTGCTGCTTGAGAAACTGCTGTGTTGCTCTTTGGGCACCTTGCCTGGAAATGCTGGCAACTGCTTCAGGATTTTCAGGATTGACTGCAGGGAGGGTGGGGCAGGACAAGGAGACAGAAAAACGTGGAGATGGGCAAGACCCAACAGACAGCAGCACCCTGACCTGACTCGGGCAGGGTTCAGGCAACCAGAGTGCTGGGCTGACTAACTGCTGCAGGCTCTGCTGCCACAGTACCATGGGGTTCACCTCATCACAGACACAGGTTCAACAGACACAGGGCTAAGTGAAATCAGTGTTTACTGCACTGTGCCCAAAGACTGGCTGTCTCTGGCTTTGCCAAGAGCAGCAAGCCCCAACAAGCTGCCAGCCTGCACAGAGTTCAGTTTCCTGAATTAAACTGCCAGGACAAGCAGGATGGAGAAAGTGGATGTTTCACATCTAGTCTCAGCCTTTCTCATGATTTAGACATTATTCAAACTGTGTTTCTTCTTTAGCTGCACTCAAAACACTTCCAGGGTCTTGAGAGATCCTGTCTTCTCCTTTTGGTGTCTTTAATGTCCCTCAAGTCTTTCTGCACAGCAGGCTGAGCTCTGCCAAACTTCATAACATCTGTGGGTCTGTAGACCACCAGTGAAGTGCACAGAGCAATGACAGTGGCAAAGCACCTGGGGGATCTGCCACCCTTTCCTTCTCTCACTCCAGGGACCAAAGGTGGTTTCCCACTTCCTTGTCACTTTTCTCTCCCACTCCTCATAGTATTCATCACTCATCCCAGTTGTTTCCACCTACTCTTTCCTTGTTTTTTTTCCATTCCTCTGTAATGCCTCATGTTTCTGCAGGGGAGATGACACACTGGTGTGAGCAATGCCTCTGGCTGCACAGCACAGCCTCTCGCTGTTCATGCAGATAAAGTTGCTCACAAGAGTCCTGCTGATCTTCATAGGGTCAGGATTTCATTTCTTGTACCTGAATCTCAGCTAAGACATGACCACTGCTGCATTCTTTGGTACATTTAACAGCTTCCCTCTGTCCCTATCTGTTAAATAGGAAGGGCAATACGTTTTCCATGAGCAGGGAAATAACTGATGCAAGTTAATAACATTAATTCCTAAATAATCTTAGGCCCCATATTTGGAAGACTTTCTCACCCTGCACTTCACCTCGGTGCTCCAAAGCAATGGGAAGTGCTTGTTTCTGAATGTTGTTCTCCAAAGGCCCATGTAGACATCCAGACCAGTGGGAGGTAATAGGCTGTCATCCTCAGCCATCTCTTCTCATACCCACAGTGCTGCAGTCAGACTTGCTCTCTTCTGAAGTTAGTCCAAGCAAGATCACCTGGATCATCTGATCTATTTAAATAGGCAGGTTTAGTTAACCCATCTTCTATACATCATGGGACACACAGGCACGCTCTCCATTGAAGAGAGCTGTGAGGGCAGCAACACCAGCAGTGCAAGTAGAGCTAATCCTGGCCAGGGTGAGGTGTCCAGAGCTGCGGTTGCTTGCTCAGGGCTGGGTACTGAGGTCCTGGCAGAACTATAGAGAGCATTGAAGAATCAAGGCTTCTTCCGAGCAGCCCCATGGCTTCTCAGACAGCTTCCACCTCTTCTAAAGGTTGAGCTGGTTTGGCAGTTCTGTTCTGCCTTTGGTAGCAGCGGGAGATGCTCTCCTGGTACTGGCACTTGCCTTGCGTCTCTCCTTCAGCATCCACTTCAGTCAGTCACACAGTTTAGTCCATGGAGGCTCTCTTGTGACAGAGATACAGCAAGACAGATCCTTGTGGTGGGCCTGAGCAGGAGACAGAGACATTTGAACTGCTCCCTTGTGTGGTGGGCACGCTGTAGAAATTCTTTTGTCAATGCAGTCGATCAAATTGATTTATTAGAAAGTAGCCCTTCCTCATTATCTTTTCCATGCTACATCTTCCTTAAGATGAGAGGCTAGGCCCTTCATCTTTCCTAAACCTCACCATAGAGGGCAAGTTCATCTTTCCTTTGCCAAAGTATAGCTTAGTGCATGAGCAAGGAAGAGTCACAACAGCCTGCCATTCCCGCTCACTTCAGAGACTGATTGGACAGATGGGATAATCACTGACTGCAGTAATCTACGAGGGAGTAGGAATTATGAATGAACAGAGGAAATGAAACCATAAACTCATGCAATTTTAAACAGTACTGCATTATTTAACTTCACCCAGCTACAACAACTGCAGGCCACCTTGGATAAATCAGGCCATTCTCCAGGCTGCAAATGACCATGCTTGGACTTGTGCATCAAATGATGAATCTCTGTAGCTATGCTTTTATGCCTCTAATATGGGTTATCCAGAAGTCTTAGATGAACTGGCTTGGAGCTATATTGCCTTTCTGTCTCCTGGGGATTTATCAAAACTACAGAAGCACTTTGATACAGCAGCCATTGGTGCTATGAAACAACCCAGATCCTGCTCTGAAACTATAGGTTGGGAAGAGTCATTTATTTTAGGATAACAGGAAATGCCCATTCAAAGCTTCTTTTGTTTTAAGCTAAGAACCTGTGAATCATCTGCAGTGGATGTGCTTTTTTCTGTCTCCACAAGCAGCTATGTGTCAACACCGACATTTGATGGGAGGGCAGTTTTCACTTCCCTGAAGTGCTTTTGCAAGTCTCTTATTTCATCAGACAATGTCTCCGCCAGGAGCCAAGCACCCTGGATGTACACACCAACCCACACGATCCAAGAGTTACACAATCCAGGAAGGCTGCATCAACACTTCTCCTCCCTTGCTCATTGCCAGCTCCAAACCTCCATCCCCCACATCACACTGCTGCTGCACTGGACTGAGTTTCCCACTCAGTGTGCAGGAAGGGGCTGGCAGCTCAGATCTGTGCAGAGCCCTCAGGACTCTGGGTGTTAATCCTGGCAGGATCAGTCCTGTCAGCTGTATTTTATAGGCCAGAGAACTTCATGATTCCCAAAGCATAAGCCCGGCAGGCAGCTGTGCGGGAATACCCAGGCACAGAAAGCAGGAGCTGGGCTGTGAACAGTGAGTCTGGGTTGTGGTAGGATCCAGCAGGTACCCAGAGCCCTGACGTGCACATCAGCACTTTCATACAATCATAGAATCAACCAGGTTGGAAAGTCAAGTCCATCCAGTCCAACCATTCCCCAGCACTGGCAAGGCCACCACTAACCCATGGCACTGAGGGCCTTGTCTACACAGGTCTGAACACTTCCAGGGATGGCGATTCCAGCACTGCCCTGTTCCAACACCTGAGCACCCTTCTGGTGAAGACATTGCTCCTATTATCCAGTCTAAACCTCTCCTGGCACAGCTCGAGGCCGCTACCTCTTGTCCTTGTTTATCTGTTTGCTGCTGGCTGGAGGATTTCTGTTTGCACACCAAGATCTTTAAGCAGTAACCAAAATCCACATTGGTCTGCCATGTATGAAGAAGTGGGTTATTTTATTTGCATGCATTCAGCACATGTTGTCATGTAATATTGTGGAAAGAGGAGGTGAAAGAGCCATATGCTGCTGTGACCTTTAGCTTTCTTCTAAATCTTATGTTTGCAGTCAACATGAACAGAAATGGATCATTTCTTACATAGAAACCAAACAAAGCCCAGGTAGCTGGATACTGACGTTACACTGTGTATATACTCTTCTAGTCCTAAATTCTGCC